GTGTTTCTCTAATGTTGCTATGCAGCTCTATGAAGCAACATCTCAAGTTAATCCACATCTTTGGTGATCCACTGCAACATCATGAGAGCCCTGGAGTTTGCTGTTTTCACAGTACCTGTGAGCAGTGCATGACTTAGTATTTTGTACAGAAGTCAAGAGTGAAAAAACAGGCCCAAAACTTTTCACATTGAGAAATGGAAGGGTTATGTACGAAAAAAAACCCAAAGTCAGTATAGAATGTTTTGACCTTATTTATCCAGATTATCTGTAGAACTGCATTTTTATTCAAATCGATGTTAATTTTTAAAATAAATACTTCTTATCTAACCTGAATTTTTAGGTACAAAAATCTTTAGAACTGCTTTCAGAAAGCTGGGGCTAAGACATTTGTCATCCCAGCTCTTCCATCCCCATCTTTGTTAATTTGTCAGAGAAGCACAGCAACCCTGCAGTGAGGTCTGACTCACACTTGGACATGAAAGGCTTCAGAGATGAGAAAAAGCTGTTTCATTACAGAATCACCCAGGCTGGAGAAGACCTCTGAGGTCATCAAGTCCAGCCTATGACCTAACACCACCACATCAGCCAGACCATGGCACTAAGTGTAACATGCAGCCTTTCCTTCAACACATTCAGGGACAGTGACTCCACCACTTCCCTGGGAAGTCCATTCCAATGTCTAACCACCCCTTCCTAATATCCAACCTAAACCTCCCCTGGAGCAGCTTCAGGCCAAGCCCTCTTGTCTTGCTACTAGTTGCCTGGAAAAAGAGTTCAGCCCCCACCTGACTACAACCTCCCTTCAGGCTGTCATACCTGAGCAACAGGAATTAAAACAAAGTCAGCCTTATCTTGTTCTCTTCCCAATCTTCCCAAGTTATAGAGAGTGACGAGGTCCCCCAAGTCTCCTCTTCTCCACACTAAACAACCCCACAGACAAAGGACACTCTACACACTGAGCAGAAAATGGGAGTCGGGTATGAGAAACATCTGGCTTGCAGCAGAAAGAAAACCTCTTTCCCAACTTTCCCTGACTAGATACAGAGAATATCAGGGAATGGGTGAGACAGGGCTTTTTGCTGTCATCAAGTTAAAAAGACAGATGGAATCAATGTGCTGTGGTGATGGGAGAAGCAAATCTTCTGAAAAGTAGTTTAAACTGTAAATTCATGTATAACCTTAACATTGGAGACCACTAAGAAAATTAATTGCCCATTTGTTCCCTGTGGAGATGTTTTTTCCTTCTCTTCACTGGGAAGTTATTTAATCAGTCGTGACTTTCTGTAAGCAGTCAACAACCCTGCTGAGCTGCAGGACAGCACCCTGGGACAGGAAGAAAAGGAGAAATATCCAGAGCATCTCCTTCTCTTCTAAAAAGTGAGGCCATCAAAGAGGAGGCAACTGAAGAGGTTTCTGAACTTTCTTGTTTAAAAATATCTTAGGCTAGGATAATAACAGTAATTTAACTGTCATAGATGCTTACACTCAAACTTTGCATTAAATTAGGACATGAAGATATAGTTGGAATAGCCTGACATTTAAAGTGTTCAGGCAAGATCCTGAAATGGATTTTTACTTTTAAGCTTATCTAAAAGAAGTGAAATATTCTTAAAACAAAAAGAAATCTAACATCATAAGAATACTAATAAGGTTCATTAAGAAGGCAGAGTTATCGTTCACTTAATGAACACTAATTAGCTCCGTTCCGAGGAGGAAGGGAAGAAGAGGTGCATTTAATTTAGAGACGTAACTTACAAGTCTGAATTTCAGGTACGGTTGTGTTGGATTCAGACTTCCCAATACACCCGGGATTCAGAAGGCACCTAATTTCTAGGAAAGGCATTTTGACTGAATTAGCACTTTCTAAACCGTACAAGGAAAACCTCCATCGCGTGTCACTGGAACGTTACTGCGGCAGATCAAAGGATTCTGAGCTTCCTGCACCATCTAGTGTCGAACTGGAGAAACTTCAAGAAAATTATTTTTCGGTAACCACGATATGACATAGTTTTTCCTTTAACAGATTAATAAAACCCAATTTCATCGCCTTCGTAAGTTGCAAAGAGCATTTATCATCTTATGGCAACTCTGTTTTTCAGAAGACTTCTCCAACGTTAGCATTTTCCCAGATGCTAATACAGCCATGTGACTGAAATCTTCCTTTAAAGATTCACTGCTTGACATTCAAAGTTGCTGAAGCTGTGGCAAATTTTGCCCTCTCTCTACTAATAAGTAGATCAACCTTTAACAGAATCTTGCAGCTTTCTAAAATTAAGCATTTTCCAGAAGTTGTGTCAACACAACTTCTGTAAGGAAACTTGTGTAAGGGAAGCACTACAGGAAGAAAATTAGTAGAAAAGTAAAGTCCACGCAAGAAATCTGAAGTTACAATAGTAAAAAACAAATTTTAATGAGTTTAGTGATCAGCACAACTGTTCTTGTTCTTGATTATCCTCAGGAAGGAAGTATTCAGGGTAGTGGACAGGAGGTTTTAGATACCTGAAAGATAACAAGGGATGTCTGACATCACTATCAGAAAACCTATTCACATTCCTAAAGAGTATTCATCATAATCAGTATCTGATTGTGATGTATCTGAAAGAAATGTTAAGAATGTCTGAGGACCATATTTCTGATTATTCAGCACGCAAAAGTAGTGTAAGGTTGTTATAGAAAATTCTTTCTATATCTTGGTATCTAAAGAAAGCTTCTAAAATAACCAATAATCATGAGCTCTGCTAAGATATTTCTGGACTACATCAAACCACATAATCTGAGATATGAAATTACAGCCAAGTTCTTTAACAATTTGTACACAGAAAGTTGATATCAAATTTAAGATGCAGCTGTTCTACAAAATATGGACCACGTCAGGCATTTTGAATCTTATGTGTTAAAAAAGATGGGTCGAACCCTCCCATCCTGAGGGCTAGAAAGTCTTTTCAAGAATCCTTGGAATGTTTTACTTCAAGATGCACACAAGGGTATAGACAGGCCCATGGTTATCACTGCCTGAACACCAACTATCCACAAAACTCGTAGCTGTAATGATGCAGGTCTGTGCTCAAGCTGTCAAGCTGGTTTATGGATGTAGAATGAGATGTTCACTGGAAACCTGGGAGCACAGGCAGTGTGATGGTAGCATCAGTCTACCTGTACAGGCCAGGTACAATAGCTATGGCTTCCAGAGATGGCTGTGAGTACTGGTCAGTTATGGGGGCTGGAAGCAGCCACCCTGAAGAGTAGTTTTCTGATTGCATGTTCTTTGTAAATTTCTTTACAAATGAACACACATGTATGGAAACAAGGAACCCTCTCCTCTGCCAAACTCAAGTCACTTAGGAAAAGTGATGTGATTAAGATAGATAAGTGGCTTGGCCTTGGGACAACACTTTACTTCCAAAGCATCTGAACTAGATTATTTTTATGGTCAAACATTTTTGAGTTATGATACTATTTCAAACACAGAAATATTGGCCAAATCATCCTGTCATCAGAGCACTTAGCAGCCATGAAACAGAGAAGACTGCCTCAAAAAGTCTTTGAGAAGTGCACCCTGGTGCTGCAGACCTCACAGGGAAATTTAGGCAGCAAAATACAGTCAGTCAGTGGCTTAACCCCACTCAACCAGACAGCCCCCCCCTGCTCATGCACCATGCTGGTTGGCTGGGAGGCTGGTCAGACAGACTCCTAGTGACACACAGAAGGTGATGTGATCCCTCTTGGGACAAGCAAACTTCTGACTTTCATTTACACACATTTTACTAAATGCTCTGACCTGTATTCAGAAAACTGGGGCAGAAAGAGTCAACCTTTCCAGAGCAAAAAGCTCCTGCTGGCGTTTCCTGACAGCTGTATCCCACTGCCATTTCCAATGTCTTTTCACTCCTAAAACAAGTGTTGACAGGTTCTTTGGACTTGAGCATCTGTTAAATGTCTGCAGAGCAGTGTTACAGCAGTTCCACCCCTCATGCAAGGCAAAAATATTTAAATTGCAGGCACAATCAGCCAACAAATCTTAAAAAAACATTATTTTACATTTCCCTAGGAGGGCATGGTATGGTTGAGAGGCAGTATGCCTCTGATTTGGTCACTATTCAGTGCAGCCATGTTTACACAATACTGCTGAGAAGAGGGTGGAATACTTTATGACATCAGAATACTGGATGAAAAGTCTAATTCCAGGCAACAAGAAGTCTGATTGGATTTTGGAGAGTTTGGAATGTTGTTTCTCAACTACGTGGAAATCACCATGACAAGGGAAGTCAGTCAATTCCCAGAAACAAAAGTGAATGGAAAGCAGGTATTTCAGATAGGAAGGGTACTACAGTGCCCTGAGCTCTAGCAGAAAGTCTACTCCAGCCTCCAGAGCTAAGTTGCTATTGAAGGTTAAATGACAGGACTGCAGGAGGAAGAAAGCAGAAATTCCAAAGCCATCTGAAGAGACAAATGACTAAATTTAGATTAAGTGGCAGACACGAGATAGTGTGATTCTGAGGGAAAGAAGGGAAAGGGACAGAGTCAAATACAGAAATCCTCAGGCTGAGGAGAGAACTTGCAGAAGACACCGATTTCCTAGAGGAAATGCTATATAGGTCCTCTCCTCCCATCACTTCAGAAACAGCAGCAGACAACAGGTTTCTCTTGTCGCATGAGCAAATTAGACTGAGAGTTATTTCAAGGCAACTGCAGATGTCTGGGGTACCTTTCGCCCCACTTCACAATAAGCTTGTTATCATCATTGCTACATTATCAGCTTGGAACAAGCAGCCTTACTTTAAAGTCTCCAAATGTGAAGAAAAATACCTAATATTTACTTTCATGAGTAAGAAGCACCACCGCAATCTTAAGATTCAAGGACCCCTAGAGGAGCAGGGAAGTTTCATTTCTAGACAAGAAATTGCTTTGTCTGTGGTTTCCCCCTGAGGTTACACAGAGGCCACATGGAGGTAATCCCTTCCAAATAACTAAATTGATTTTCTTCGGCATAAGAAGATAAATCACTGCTTGATGCTGTTGGCTTCTGCAATAGAAGTTAGGTAAGCAACCTGGAAAGCTGCTAAAACACAAAAAGACAAATGATGTACAAACTACACACAGGAACATGAGCAGAGGACAGAATAGAAATTCACATGGCTATTCCATGAAGGCTCAATGAACACCAGCTGCATTCACATCAATCTTTAATAATAAATATTACTTTTCACTGGTAACCACACTGCAATCGCTCTGCTAGGCAAGCGATGCCCATTGCACAGGGTTTGAGCACCAAAAGGAGCAAAGCCCATCTGCCTTGTTTGCTGCTTAGTTAATTGCTAGAATGAAACCATTACCCAGAACATCACCACCTTTAGTAAAAAATATCCTTTTTTTTTTTTTTTTTTCCCCCACCTTCTCAGGCCTTGCAGAAAATAAAACAGGAAAACTGTCGTGCTCAGCCCTCCATCTAAGCCCCCTTCATTAGAGAAGTTTTAGAAACACTCTCAAACTACTGCAGTCTCATTAAAGAGCAAGTGTAATTTTCAGGAATGTATTTCTTTTAGGTTAATATGCAGGTTCACCATTAAGATCAACATTTTTTGCCAGGCAAGATATTTCAGAGTACACCAGACACATACAGAAAAACCTTCTATACTTTATAAATAAGTTGCCTTAATTAGCAGAGATATGTCTCCGCATCGCTTTGAATTGCAACAAAACCCTCAGAAAAGAGCAAGTACTTGAGCAAGGATCTGAATAGTGGTAAATGAGCTCCCTTTTCAGGCATAACTTATGACTTTGATACAGCTTTTTGAGAGATGTGAAAACTAGGATTCCATCAGATGGTTACATTTAGAGTATTTTTTCAATTTCTGAACAAGGACAATCAAGAAAGGAAGTCTGCTATTCTAAAATCACCACAATATTGAGGCTGAGAACCTTCATTATTCCATTCTCAATGTACAGAAAAACAGACTCATTTCCCAGGAATTATTTTTGCTCAAGCAAAAAACCTCACTGAAAGCAAAAACTCACATCTGAACACAAAGCTTTGCCAACTGAACCGTCACCTGTGACATGACAGTGAGTCTTTGAAACCCATCACAGGACAATCAATCTGCAATGACACTTTTCAAAAAGCAGGTTTGGTTTTTTACGACAAAATATTTTTCCCAAGCATTTCATGCTACATGTTTCCTTGTGTTCCAGGACCAAAGCCATAATGACTATCGATCCTACCTTCAAAGGAGAGATGTGAGACTGTAAGACATATCCATGGACATTCTCTATTTGAGACAAGTTCTTCTCTGACACATGAACAAGCTCTGGGCCTCTCACTTCATGGGTTAATCGAGGCAAAGTATGATCATGTGGAGCGTCCTCATCTTGATAACGATATTTCTAGAGAAAAGAGATAGCAAGAGAGAACAAATAAGCTTTGAGGAGACAATGTGCATGTATTAATGTAAATATGAGTTAAGGTAATGTCTGATTCACATTAGACAAAATAATGCTCAGATTTCCTGATCTCTTCTGGAGAGAATACCTCAATTTTTTTTTAATAAGATTTCATCAATGAGAGAAATTATGGTATATCACACTAAACTTTCACCATCAGGGAGATGTTTGAGATGATATAGTAGCAAAGGTTGATAATGAACATAAAAAGGCATGTTGATCAGCCGAGCTATAGCATCCGTTCATATTTCACATCCCTACATTAATAACTGCACCTCTATAGCCCTTCTCTGCAAAAGATATATTTTCCATTTACTTCCATGTACCCTGATGCTGGAGAGCACACGTGCACTTCCACAGAGTCACAGCCAGGCAGAGTTTGCCCCTTACCCTGGACACTAAGTAGGGTGTGAGGTGCTGTAACTCTTCAATCCACAGAGGGGCAACATGAAACAGGAGATACGCAGATTGTCCAGGATCCAGAAGGAAGCTTGTAACAACAATGATATAACCCTAAAAATGAAATTAAATTACCCAATCTTTTTTAGCCTTTTTTAAAAGGTGCCATCCACCTGGGTGATGGGCCCAACTGTGTCATATGACGGGGCTGTTGAGCCAGCTGGAACCAGCTGTATCTAGCAGGATCAGTCCTGGCCTCTCCTCATAGAGGTGCCTGCAACCCCCTGGCTGCCAAAGCCTCACTTTTTATCACTGACAGATGTACACGCCGCTGTTTGGAGGGACAACACCAAAGGGGTTCAAGAGGCATCATTCCATGCTGGGGGATGTGCAGCTGTGGCAGCCAGGACAGGGGGAGAGCAGAGTGTAAAGCAGCAGGGAGTTCATAGGTCTTTGGCAATAAGAGAGGGGCAGATAGTGTCATTGTAAATCCTTTTTTCAAGCTGACAAACTATTGGAATAAGCAAAATGGAAGACTAAATAAAGGATAAAATCAAAGACTAAGACTTATTTGGATGGCCATATAAGAAAAATAAGTCTCTAGTTCAGGTACGGTGACAGGGACATTGTGAAGAAAACCTCTCTGCTGCTCCTGCCTTTCACTTTGACCACTCAGCTCTGGGCTGTTACTTCATTTACTCATCCCTCCAAAGGAAATCATCCCAGTTTATTCCTGCCCTCACTCTTGTGTATGGAACAGTCTCAGCAGTTGCCAATTATTTTCAGAGTGTAGATGACATTATTTATTCTCTTATTTTCTAGGATATGCCTGCAACCTTTCACATATTTCAGATAATATAATCAATTAATATATAAAATGACTGGCACCAGACAAGCATTATTTGGGCAAGAAGTTGTCAGTCTAATAGACAGTACTCCAACCAATGTCCCATTTAAGGCTTGGCACATGGATCATTTAAGCCCCAAGCAAGCAATTATTTTTTGAATCCAGTGAGTGCTCTTTGAAAATAGTTGAAAAATCAGAGACGCCCTCTTTAAAGTGAGTAAATTGCTAAAATGTGATTAGGAGAAATAACCACAGAACACCAGAGTCATTGCATCTTCCCAGGAAATTAGATGAAAATGTCCAGTGATAGTTTTCTAACGAGAAAAGACAGTAGTGGCAGAAGCCATAAAAAGCTCTGTCATAGAATCATAGAATCATTTAGGTTGAAAAAGCCAATTAAGATCATCAAGTACTGCTGTTGACCTAGCATGCTGCCAAGTCCACCACAAAACCATTTCCCTAGGTGCCATATCTACACATCTTCTAAATACCTCCAGGGATGGTGACTCCACCATTTCCCTGCTAGCCTGTTCCAGTGCTTGATGATTCCTTCAGTGAAGAACTTTTTTCTAATATCCAATCTAAACCTCCCGGGGTGCAACTTGAGGCCATTTCCTCGTGTTCGGTTGCTTGTTACTTGGGAGAAGGGATTAACCTCCACCTCACTACAACCTCCTTTCAGGTAGTAGAAGAGAGGAATAAGGTCTGCGCTGACTCTCCTTTTCTCCAGGCTACACAACCCCAGCTCCCTCAGCCACTCCTCATAAGATTTGTGTTCTAGACCTTTCAACAGCCCTGTTGTCCTTCTCTGGACTTGCTCCAGCACCTCAATGTCCTTCTTGTAATAGGGGCTCAAAACCGAACACAACATTTGAGGTGTGGCCTCACCAGTGCCAAGTACAGGGGGACAATCACTCCTCTACTCCTACTGGCTACACTATTTCCGACACAAATATTATATACTCTCTCTATATGTATACTATTCTGTCGATATAATTTGTGCAACTTTACAGAGCAAGAAGCAGTGTAAGGTGGCATCTCTTTGACCATCCTTTCTCCATCACCACACTGCAGAGGAGCTGTTGTATAACTGGGAGCCAAGTCCCAGAGGAAACTGGTTGATCCTGAGCCCAGTGCTCCCAAAAAGCAGAATACTTTCATGGATCTCCACTGTTAAATTGTTGAGGAAAACCTATTTCTTATAATGAAAATCCATAATTTTAACTGATAACTGTGTATTGCCATTACAAACACTGTAATATCCATGTTCATGTGTCATAAACTGGAAGGTTTACAGGACAGGTTTCCACTTTTCCATTTGCCTTTATTTCCCTCCCACCCCAAGCCCAGCCTTCTTGCTCTTCAAGAAGTGCAAGCCTAGAGCATTTCTGGGTCAATCTTGTTAAGTGTTTGCCTCATGTTCTTAGCACCAAAATCATTGATTTTCATACATCTTTCCTCCCACAGCATCTCTTCACTGAAATGCTCTCAGCTGTGAACCAAAACAGCTTGACACAGCAAAAAGCCACTGGTAAGACTGAAAATACCACACCAAAATTAATAGTCTCCTGCAAAAATACCTCATTCGTCTCTGTCTCTCTGTCCTGTAAATGTCCTTGAAATTACCCCACTCCCTAGAAACCAAAGATTTCTCTAAGGGTTAATTCAAATTTCTGGAAGGAAAAGCATGATTGCACGGAAATGCTACTCTTCACTTGACAAAAGAACAGGTGGATTTCTTATGATAATTAAATTACAAATCAGTGCCTTCTGCTGACAGGGTATTGTACACTGCCAACTAGCATCACATATTTAAAATCCTCTGTAATTACCTTTAATGGGGGAGTGGAGTGCTCTGCTGTGAATTTTTAATATAAACGTGCCTTTTTGTAAGAGATAATTCTCTCTACAATGTGAGATTATTGCAACATCTCTTCTCCTTACATCGAACTGTCTAAAGGAGTATTTCTAGGGCTGTGTTTGCCAAAGAACTGTCAGCTAAACAGGACTGAAGATATGAATCCAGCAGAAGGTAGTGGTCAAAAGCTTTATATTTCAGCAAAATCAGCTCTCAAGAAAAAAGAAGTCCTCAGCATTTTATTTATTTTTTTTTTGTAGTTACCATTGGTTTCCTTTGCAGAAAATGCAAACAGAACATTTAATTTTAAATCAACTCAAATTGGCCTGTGTCCTAAGCTGCTGAATGTGGTCCTACTGGAGTTGAAAAGCACGTGTCCCTGCTCTCTATATGGCTCTTTTACTGAACCACACTGCAATACATCACACATTACTTCTGCTTGCAGTAGGAGGGCTGCAAAAGGAGGAAGCAAAGTGTGTTACAAGAGACACCAGGCTCCACAATATACCATGAAATAAGTGCAGCCCGTGAATCCTGGATTAAAGAGGATCTCTGCACTGCCATGTTCAAGAGACACAGAGGCAAAATCATGATGTTGCTTTTCACTCATCTGAAGCTTTATAGTAGATGCAGCTGATAGATATTAATGATGGAAAAAAAGATACCACAACATACTAGGAGATGGTGATCCATTAATGAGCATTCCACCCTGCTCCCAATCTCTCCTCAAAGCCAGTCTGCTAAAAATATTCTGGCTAGCATAGTAAGTTTTGTCAAAGGAAACAAAAGCAATACTACTCACTTTAGCTCTAACAGATGAGGATTTCAAGTCTCAAATACTATTTCTGTTTTGATGACCTCCTCAGGAGGGTCCAAACTTCTGCACCTTAGAAGCTGTGGGTCTTCAGATAACCAATATAACTTAAATAGCACAGGGTAAGGAATTTCTGCAGAATATTTCCCATGTGAGACAACGACCTTTTACAGATCCAGTTGTCCCATTGCAGTCTGGAGGTAGACAAGATACGCAACTGGATCCCAGTGCTACCTGCTTCTTATCCCTTGCTCACTTGCCTTTTCCCTCAACCCAGGATCTGAGCTTTTCGCAATTCCCACTGCTTGTCATCTGCTGCAACCTTGACGTAGGAGCTACGTTTGAGCAAGATAAGCATCACCCTCTTTCTGCATTACATTAGGTCCAGAATTCAATAACACTGAATTTGTTCACAGTTTTAGCATCAGGCAAAAACCAAAACCAGAAAGGACTTGGTCCATTTAAACAAAACTTTAATCTTCCAAGACCTATTAGAAAAAACGTTACTGCCACCTTGTCTTACTTTTGGGGTCAGTTTTTTTAGTGGTTTTTCAATGTGTTGAATTTTACTGGCACCACTCCCAAAGGCAGAAAATTTCAATGTCATACAGATGAGTATCTTGAGAAAACAAACTTGACAATTTGCACACACAAGTCCTTGGGAATTCATCCAATCATGAGTAGAAATAATGTTACTCATCCAAATGATTGCAAATGAGCAACACAGCTTGAATTCTGAATATTTGCAATCAATCTATAGAGTAAAAAGAGTAAAAAAAAAAATGTTCTCATTATATAAAATGGAAGAAATCACAATCTGCTTGCCAAGACTGTGGAAGTAGATTAAGAAGCTAAAATCATTGAATAATTACACTTATTGTGAATGACTTGCTCTTTTGCTTATCAAGTAGATTTCTAACAAGCTTGTCACTGCATCACAGCAATACCTTTCATTCAAGAAGCCCAAAGAGCTTTACAAGTGGTAGTCAAGTCTGATAATATCCTGTTGAAAAAAATAAATAAATGTGTGCATCATCTAAAGGTGTGTAAAATTAGGCACAGAAAAACAACAACTTGTTCAAGGTCACAAATAGAATTGATTGATTAAGTAGGGGTAGAACTCAGGAGATTTTTCCAGTCTGTTCTTCTAAACCCAAGACTTAGTGTGACCAAACTGACTCTAATATTAAGAATAATAATTATTAAAAAAAAAATTGACATAGATTGGCAACTGCCATTGAAATTTATTTTTACATGAGTTTTGGTGGGTTTCTTCTTTTTTTTTTTTTTTTTTATCTTTAATTTTTTCCTTTCCCATAAAGGTTCCAGGAGACAGCAGACTTTCTAAGGTCAGGAACTAAGTTTTTCTCTGTGTCAATATAATATCTAGCTGTGGTCTGTGTAATTCATATTGTGCTATTGCTGAGAAACATATAGTGATTTTTAAAGGACAAGAAGTTTTCTTGGAGAACCAGATTATTTCACAGAAGGGACACTATCAGCACTGAATACTGAGAATTTACTTTTTTTCCGCCATTAATTACAACACGAAGCTTCTTGTCTTCAGGAGAGGGGGAAAAAAACAAATATGTTGT